GCTGCACATTGTGCAGGCTCAGGTTGCTGAAGATCTCGTCTGGCAGCTCCTCAATGGTCGCGTTGTTCACGTACAGCAAATCGACGGGCTTCAGTCTCGCATACTTGTTCATTGCCTCCAGCAATTGCGAGAACTCGACCTGAAGTTAAGCGAAATTGTTTGGTAATGGTTTAATATATTGTCATAGAATTGAGACTTTAATTTTCTATAATCTTAAAGTTTGTTTTAATAGCATTTCGTTTAAAATTGTTAGCATTATTTTTAGCAATATTTATCTTGAATACAACTTTTACAAAAACATAAATTTTTAATTGAAATGTTTCTTACAAAAGTTTAACAGTAGCATTTACCATGAACATTGCTGATCATCATTTTATTAATTTCTTTATCTCATCTCATTATAACTATATTCATGGAAATAATAAAAGCAGGGAAAAATACAGGGCAAAGGAAATTCAGATATATTTTGTATTATCTATATACTATTTTACCAGGAGCATTTACCATGAACATTCTAATAAGTATATTTTTCCTTTTGTTGTTTTTCAAGTAAATTATTTAGTTTTTTAGTTTTATATTCATTATTATGATTGGGCCTGAATTTACCATGAGCGTTGTCGTGAAAACGTTATAAATAAATATTTCAAAATTTGATTTTTTAATCTGAAGATAAATCCAATGGCTAAATGTTCATGTCCTTGGATGATTCTTATTTTATGCTAAGGTCTTTCTTTCTATTCAAATTTAGTGAGATACGCTTTTTATATTATACCAAGTATAAACTCGTACTATCCCAATTATATACAATTAAATACTTTAATCTCCCGCTCCCACTCTCACTCTCTTTCTCTCTCGCTCTCGCTCTCTCTCTCTCTCTCTCTCTTTCTCGCTCTCTATCTATCTGTCTCTCATTCTCATAAGTTAAGTACTCTCATCTCACCTGATCGCATTGTACGCTCAGCTCTCGTCCCAGATTATAGGCACAGATGCAGCTCGTCTGTAGATCGGGCAGATCTCGCTGCCAGGGACATTGAGCGCGGCTCTGACTGCTGCCAGCTAAAAGTAAAATGAGCGACGATAGCCAAAGTTGTCGATTTGTGGGCGTGGTCGCTGTTTGAGTGCTGCTGCGTTTCATCTTGTCGCCGGCATAGAGCTAGAAAATAAAGAGAGAGAAGTTGAGAGCTTAATTAAGCAGAAATCTTAGGCGAAGCTTAGATAAAAGTCTTTGAATAGTTTCAGTTTTTATATAATTTTAATTATTTCTAAATAGAGCTGGAGCCAACTGGTTATTTTGATGGAATAGCTGGCCTTATCAATCACTTGTCCAGCTGCTTTCAATTTAAATTTTTTCTTCGAGCTCGTTGAACAACAAACTGTGCGTGAAGTGAGAGTGTCACCTACGCAAAGCTACACTGCCCCAGCCCCTCTTAGGTTGCCTGCTTGCCCAGATTGCCCATCATGCTCATCATTCTGTCTTGTTGATCCTTTGGCAGTTCGGTTTGATTAATTTGCCTGTCTGCTCGGGTCTCGGGGTCCGTCAAGCCGTGCTGGCCATAAAAAAAGGGAAGAGAGGCATAAAAATATCAGCATAGGGCGAGGCAACAATAAGCCTGCATCCCTTTTTAGCAGCAACAAAATCGGACATTTAATTTAATTTGCCAAACGCGACAGGCAAGTAAAAAAAAAAAAAATGGAGAATGAAGAGCAGGGAGGGAGAATAGACGCACCCAGAAACAGTGAAGTGAGCTGAGACCCACTGCCACACTGTCCCTTGACGGCAGTCAAAGCTGTTGACCTTTTTGCATAATCATGAATTATGGCCACGCTCAATCGTCAGCCCCTTCGCAGCCTTTGGTTTACGTTTCTAAGGTGTCTCTATTTGTGGCCACATGGGAGTTTGTGCCATTGTTTGGCGGCAGCTACTTGGGCTAAGACGAATTGAATGCGCTTTAGTTAAGCGTTGCGTATACGCACCGTTGAGCATTTGCATGACATAATGATAGCTTGTTAATGTACTTTGTTTTATGAACAGGTGGGTTACCTGTGCCTAAAGTATACCTACGTTTAGCCCTAAATTTAATTGCATGCTTATACATAAATATGTTTTCTTATTGTTCTATTGAATTTAGAGCATGGGAATCTGGCCAGATTCTCAGCAAAATTTCGTGAGCTACATTTAATCAGGTCACGCTTGCAGCTTATATAACGATTATTATTTATATACGTCTATATATTTTGCTTTATATAAGCATACAATGAAGTCCTGAGTGCAGCTAATATTCATATTGATTGATGGTTGTATCTGATTCAGATTTTGACTAAAATTAAGTCTCAATTTAAATCTAAATCAATCTCAGTTTCAGTTACAGTCTCATTCTTAGCTTTAGCTTCACCTTCAGTAAGTCTCAGTCTCAAGCTCAGTCTCAATCTTAATCTTTATCTAGGCCTCACTCACTCTCAATATAAATCTCAGTTTCAATCTTACTCTCAATTGGCTTTAATTTAAAGCTATGTCAGTCTCAGTCTCAATCTCAGTTTCACTCTTACTCTCAATTAGTTTCAATCTAAATCTGTTTCAGTCTCAGTCTCAGTCTTAATCTTTATCTCAGCTTTACTCACTCTCAATATCCACCTCAGTTTCACTCTTACTCTTAATTAGTTTCAACCTAAATCTGTCTCAATCTCAGTCGCAATCTAAGTCTGATTCTCAGTCTCAATCTCAGCTTCACTCTCACTCAGACAATCTGTCTCAGTCTCAGTATCAGTCTCACTCTCAATTATATTCAATCTCAGTCTCCAATCTCAATCGTAATCTCAGTCCCAATCTCAGCTTCTGCTTACTCAAAGTTCATTGCATTTTCAGTTGAATTTCGTTCATCAGCCGAAACTTTCAATTTCAATTGCATTATTTAAAGGCAAAAGTAAAAGTAAAATCAAACCAGCAATCAGGCTACCTCTACAAATGAAGCTATTCCCGCTGCATAGTTCCCTCTTTGCTCTCCGTTGTTAATCAAATGTAACGCTTCATTGATTTGTTTTAGAGCCACGAAGCCGCAAAGTAAATAATAATAATAATAAAACTAAATAAATTAAGTCGCACGCTTCGCTCGCTCGCTCACTCACTCTCCGATAATAATCAACATTTTGTCTTTTGATTGATAGTTTTTACAGCAGCTGATTTTTTCTGCTTCTGCCTCTTCTTCTTCTTCTTCTTCTTCTCCGTCTTTTCACTTCGTTTGCCCTGCGGCTCAAAATGTCGTTTCGCTTGACTTGATTTTTCATGCAATTTGCCTCGTTTTTCTTTCCTTCTCAGCTTTTCACTGTAGTCGTCTTCCTTATGTTTTGTCATATTCAAGTCTAAATTGCATTACGTGGCCAACAAATACGTTGCGCTTGAGCGTACATTCCATTTGCCACGCCCCTGCAGCCCCACAGCAGTGGCTTCATTCAGCGCTCATTTCTCACTCAACTGTCCGGCCGCAAAATTTAATTAAAAAATTCTTGCACCCATTTATTTTTTTTTCAGGCTGCTTTTCTCCCCGCTGCTCGCATTAATTGCATCACAAAAATGTTTAATGCGCGAAAGTGCGAAAATTGCAAGACACCAAAAGCTCAGAATGAAAAACGAATCAAGTACAGTTGTGCTGCAAAGTTTGAGCTCACTCAATAACGCAAAGTAGATAAAGGAAAAGAACTTTTCTAAGGGCTAATATCGACTGCACAATGCTCGCTCAGGCTTTAGAGCAGAGCAAGTTAGATATATAAATAGAAATTCTACTAACTAATTTGTCGTTCCTTTAATGTAAATAAAACTTGAGCTTAAGGGAATTTGATTAGTTTTTAGAAATCAGGGTAATACAAATATATATCGTATATTTAAAGTTAAATACTTGATAATAATAATTAATGAATAAATGAATAATTATTCTAAGCTTCAAAGTTCCTCCATGCCACAACCCCATATACTCTTTTTCACTTCCAAAAAACTAATTTTTTTTCTCTCACCCCAATTGGAGGTGTAAATTTTCCTTTTGTTGTTGTTTACTTTTTTTGCCGCATAATTATTCACTTTTTGTCTTTTTTGTTGGTCTAATTTGCATTTTAGACAAAGGCCGGCCCAGAGTCCACAATTTTTTGTTGTATTTTTTCGTCTCTTTCTTCATCTATTTCGGGGACAGCTTACAAACAATTTTTCCCTTAGCGCGCTGAGCCACACTTAAAGCGAGATTTAATTGAAGTTGTTCAACAATGTGAGTGGGCGTGGCTGTGCGACCGCATGATAATGCTGTTAAGCATTTAAGTGGATTAGAATTTTGCAGGTGCAAAAAAAAGTTGTGTTAGTGTGCGAGATGAAAAGTTGTCAATTGAAAAGTTTCCAAAAAATGAGAAGTGGTGAGAAAAAGTGAGAGAGCACACATCATGTATGTATGTATGCTTTTGGGTGGCAGTGTGAAAGTGTTTGCTGCGCTTATCTTGTAGGTCATTGCTCGCATTAAAATCGAAAAAAGGTAAATGAAAATCAAATTTTGTTCCACTCGCCTACCTAAAAGTTGAGCCTGCCCAGCTTAAAGTTTGTGAAAAATTAATTGAGAAGCTGGAAGGACAATTGCCATTGCCAGACTCTCGATAACTTTTTGTGCAGTTTTAATCTGTGTTAACTGAACTGTTAACACAATTACTTATCAGGCCAAAGCGAAAACAACTTGTACTCCTGATAAAGAGTATAGATCAAAGTAGCAGCTCTTTGAGCTCTTACAAATTGTCTAAGGCTGTGATTAGAAAACTGTAAGATTTGTGCTCAAACTACTTAAAAATCACTACGATAATCTGCTGCTAATTAATTGTTCTATAAATAATAAATAACAAGCCGTTGCTCATATCTGTCAATGGGCCTCATAAACAGTTTAGATTATTGATTTCCTAAATAAACAAAAGTGTTGAGCCAGCTAATGATTTATGACGTTTTATTGCCAGATAAGATAATCCGAAATTGTGGCTGATTAAATAAAATAAAAATCGGTCAGGTTTATTAAAGCGTAGAATGATTAGCTAAGAGCTTGATTGATAAAGGTAGAAGATTTACAAAATTCTTTTCTTTAATCAAATTTTGAAATCGTTTGAAGAAGTTCAAACTGTTCTTAGCGCTAAAACTGCTTGGGAATTATAAGAAATTTGTTAAAGCAATGTTGTTAAGCAAATAAAATCCAGCAAAAATTATTCAAGTTTCACAAAGATAATCATAAGAGAATTAAGTACAAATTTGTTTGAATTCTCAACTTAACATATCTATATTTATTTGGCTTAATAATTATGAATCAATAAAATGCTCTTGAAAATAAGATCTATTTCATGATCCGATATATGTGGATGTACGACTAGCATATGTCATAGGTTAATATCTGATTGACACACACGGCATTTGCCTCGTCGAAGAAGAAATTGCCGCAGCTCCTCTCGTCCAGAGTTCGACCGTTGGAGCAGCGTAGATAGTGACGACAGCCCTTGGTGGGGCTGAGCACAAAGGGTAGGGTGCGACCCTGGCAACGATCCTCGGAGCAGGCTACCTTATTGGGTTCAATGCAGCTCTGACTATTTTTATCAAAGAACAAATCATCGTTGCACCTGGCCCACGTGGGATTCTCATCGGGCGTATTCGGTCCCTTGTCGGCACAGATGAAATAGCCGTGACAGGTGGCGCCATCGGGCACCAAGGTATTCGGCTTCGGACTCTTCGTTGTGCCGCACACATTCGCCGGCAGGGGATGGGCATCGCAGTTGACCAGAGTCTTGGCCACACACTCACCGGTGCTTCTCTGATAGTAGCCCGATTTACAGGTCTTGTCCTCCAGCTTGCCCTTGGTGCACACATAGTAGCGATTGCAGCCGAGCGTATTGTCAAAGTTCACGCCGTTCTTGATGATGCTGCAGTAGTCGAATTTGCTTGAGTGGCACTCGGAGGCAGTGCTCCAGATGCACTCCTGAATGGCCTCATTGAAGTGCGTGGCGTCCGGGCAGGTGCCATAGACAGGTGTTTGCTCATCCAGGCAGTAATAGTAGCCGAAGCACGACTTTGGATCTCTCACAAAGCGAGTCGCCGCATTCTCACACGAAATATTACAATTTTCCGTATCCGGCAATGTCTTGACACACTTCAGCGTGTCCTTGTCGAAGAACGGAGTTGGACTCTGGCAGGTGCTGTAGGTGCTCTTGCCGTCCACGCATGTGATCGAGCGACTGCACGATTCCGGATCACGTATGACCGTATTATCCGAGAACAACGTGCATATATCCTCGATGCGTTGGCCCAGAGTGAAGCCACAAAGACTCAAGGCGCTAATGGAGAGCACAAGGCAACTGCCGGCTGCAAGTTCCAGAAAGTTCATAAACCCATCTAGAGGTAGAATTCTTATACCACCAACCTTTCATTGCTAATTAACTTCTGTTCTGTTCGCTCCGCCAACTGGCTTCAAACTGATTGGCAAACTATGTCCAACCAGGATCTATATAGCATAGGCGTGCGATAAGCCAATTGAAAGTTTTCAATTCATTATTAGAAATACCCACAGATTAGATTAACCATATCACAGTTATAAGGCGTGAACGAACTAACTCTGATTATATTTCCCTTCAGCTACACAGATGTTTTCACTTTTTACGTCGAGCGACTAATCTCATTGATAAATCAATCTGTATTCGCTTTTTTTTTAAGTATATATATCTATCTATATAATATATATGTTTAACTGACATTCAACCCTTATCGTTTTCTGGTAGCTGTGTAAATTCTACAAAGCTTTCCGTTTTATAGTTGGCGCTTCACTGAAGCAGTATTTAATAAATTTAGACAGTTAAATTCATATTTTTCTTTACTTTGAACATTCAACTTTAATTAGTTATACATTGATTTATTTTTAGTTTTTTGAATAGGCTATAAATAATATGTTGATTAATTAATTTTTCTAACTTTAGAGCTCAACTTAAGCTAGCGATAAATCAAATTTATGAATAAGATTTATTTGTTAATTTTGATTAAATGACTTGCTTAATCCGCTTCATTGCTAAACAACATATTTAAGACATTTAGTAACACAATTTCAAAGTGAATTGCGGACGTATTGGTAAAAATTTAAGATATTATAAGATATATGTTTCATGTCTTCAATAATGGCAAAATCGAGGGACAGTAATCAATATACTCTCGTGACTTTCTGAATGAGTATAACAAATATTTAACAATTCAGGCGAATAATAATAAAAGTCGAAGCTAAACAAATTGAAAACTAAATGTTTATGGACTAGATACAAGATATATTCAAGATATATTCGAGTTGTTTATATATTCTCTTAAAAAACAACTCTGAGTCAGACTCTTTCGACTAGAACAAACTTGTTATATATGAAATTCACTTGCTTTGCTACAATTGTTATCAGATTCTTTTTCGGTCTATTCTTAAAGCTGTTTAAGTTGAACTTAATATAAAAACTAGGCTATATTTAGCTAACATGGCCATTAGTTCAACTAGTTGTTATCTATTTAATTGAAAGCCTCTTAAATGCCAAATAGCAAAACTAGAAGAAGACCAAATATATATTTTATTCGGTAGACATTTTTGTCACAGTCTCTTAAGTCTCAGAGGAGTCTTAAAGGCAATGGCCATTGGCTGTGGCTCTGTGCGTTATATATTTATATGGGTCAGAAATAAATAGAACTATAAAGTGACTTGTCCGAAAAAAAAAAAAAAAAAAAAAAAAAACAAAACATGTGAAAACAAATTATTTGGCCAACTTGTGTGTGTGTGTGTTTTGGCCACAAAAACTAAAATGTTACGTTTGGCCATTAATTTGGTCAGTTTATGGCTGGGCGTTTCGAGCCTCTTGCCAATTAATGATGTGCTGCGCTTTAACTTGGCCCAGACCAGAAGCAGAGCCAGCTAGCCATTGTGTGGTCGAAACGTTTGTCAATTGCTTTTTAGCTGCTTTAGAAAGCTTTTAAGCAGCTGCTGCCTGCTGCATATCCAGGCCAAAACTCATAAGCAAACTTTATGCAAATGCACAAAGAACTGCAGAGGGGCAGAAGGGGCACGAGGGGGTGAAGAGTGGCAATGTGGCTGGCTGGTACAAGCCCCATTTGCTGGACACATCCGCTACTGGCCAAATAAGTCAGTTCCGCCCGCTGTCCACGCTGTGCAGCAACACACATAACGGTTCAGACACTGTTTTGTTGTGATACACACACACACACACACATACACACACACAGACACCCCGAGCGCGAGGTTCAATAAACTCTTTGGTGACATGACTCATGGGAACAGCAATGGCAACAGCAGAGACGCCTGCTTCTTCTTCTTCCTCAACTGCTTCTCGCTCTTCTACTATCTACATCAACTCCTTCTCATTTGCTATGCACCGCACAAAAGCGCTCGAAACAGCGTGAATACCAAATGCGCGCTCTTTGGGACAGTGCGTGTCATGGATCGCAGATATAGTTGGGCTCATATATATATGTATGTATGTATATATATGTGCGTGTATATCATATGTAGGTTGGCTTAGACACCGACAGCTGTCGCTGTTAGCCTTTATTGTCGCTTTGTTCTTGATGGCACGCAAACGAGCTTCAATGGCTATGACAAGAAAAAAACACTTCAGGGGATATATTTATGTGATGTCTTTTGTTTAAAAAATTGCAAATTTGTATTTTTTTTTTTTTATTTTTTTATTTTATGTATATATGTAGATGCATACCAACACGTCGCTTTCAAATTATGAGCAAACAAATCTAAGTCAAGAAATCATTTACAGCTAAACAAATTACTAGAAATTTATTTTGATTTTTTTTTCGGAGTTTTTAAACACCAAATCAAATTAACCAATCTGTATTTCAAAAATAAATAAAATTAAAAAATATTTAAAAACTTTAAGCCAAACTTTTAAGAAATTAAGACATTTTTTTAATAAAATAATATTGTATTAAAAAATATTAAAATATAAAAAATAAAAAAAACTTTTAAGGAATTTAAAAACCTTTCCCAAACGAAAAGCGTAAATAAATTATCTCTATGTTTATATCCGCGTTTCTTCTTCTTCTTCTTTCGTCTTATTAAAAATTCCCAAGACCCTAACTACACGTATTATCACTTTGTTTAGTTGCCGCCTAAGCAATCTCGTTGTAATAAGATATGCAACTTTTTAGAAGACTAAAAATTCGCAAAGTTTCATGGCAAACAATTTCAGTTAAATTTTATTGCATTTCAGCTGGCAAACTTTACAAAATATTTCGCTATGCTCTGTTTTATTTTAAACCAAAACAAACCAAAAATATAAATTCTCTTTGCACAGAATTGCACCTGGTTTCCCGGATACGCGCACCTGTCTGCTGCACCAGAAGCTGCAGATGCTCAACGTTTGCGTGGAGCGACGCTTGCAGCGCGAGGCGTTTGGCAAGCGCAAACAACAGCAGACGAAGGTCACGGCCCAGCAGCAACAGAGCGAGGCGGACGAGCAGGAGGAGGAGGAGGATGAGGATGAGGATGATGGCGAGTTTTATGATTGTGATGAGGCAATACCGAGCAGTGGCTCACCAACCAAAGCTGTGTTAAGCCTCAAGCCCGAGGGCCGTTTGAAGCGTTTGGGGCAGGAGCGTTTGCTAGATGAGCCGGAAGAATATCTATATGTGCCCGAAACACAGGAGCCGGTGCCCAAGACCGAGGATCAGCTGCAGGACGATGCGGAGGTAATGCTAAAGCTAGGCCCCGGCTCCGGTTTGAGCACACAAATGATGTGCACTTCCCTGCTCTCCGATATGGAGGCATTCAAGGCGGCCAATCCACGTGGCAGAATGGAGGACTTTATACGCTGGTACAGTCCCAAGGACTGGGAGCAGGTGGTGGATGGTGAGCAGTGGAAGAGAGGGGAATTACAATTGAGAGAGATAATAATTCATATAAATTTTGTTAGATAATGGTGAGAGCAGGCATCAGCTAAGCGTTCGCATGACCACCGAGGGGAATACCTGGCAAAAGGTTTGGGAACAGGCACAGCCGGTGCCGGTGGCCAGACAGCGCCGGCTCTTCGATGATACGAACGAGGCGCTGAAGGTGCTGCACTATCTGGAAACGCGCAATATGAGCGAGATCTATGGACTGACCATAATACCAACGCTGCACACGGGTATACTTAAGCTGATTGTAAGTAGAGATGGATATAACTAGATATACATATAAATGATTATCTCTCTCTCCCTTCCACTTATAGGACATCTATAGCAATGCCCAAGTGCAGGATATATTTGCCAGCCACATTGAGCAGCTTCTAAATGATTTGTGCCGCCTCTCACGTTCCCATTCCAATGAACTACCTCAATTGGAGAACCTGCTGCAGGAGCTCTCCGAGCTGGAGCGTCGTTTCTATCAGTTCAAGTGCTTCGAGAGACTCGCTGGCTATCCGAAGCGCAGTAATCTGTCCGAGATTAAGCGCCAGTTCGAGGAGATACTGAAGAATGACAACTGCTGCACAATTGTGGATAAGAAGCGCGGAGCTGCAGGCGATGTGGTCTGCAGTGGCGGCAGCTTGTATGAACTGCTGAGTCCCAAACTGGAGCAGGATATCTCGAGTCGATTGATCAGCAAGGATTATGTTATACGCTCGGATGGCGATACCAAGTCTGGAGAGAAGGGTCTCTATCTGGGGCCACAATTCATGCGCGCAATTGTCACGGGCGAGAAGCTCAGACTCTGTGGAGCATTCACTGAGAGCACAGTATTTGTCTAGGTGGGAGGACGACTCAGCTGACTGAATGATATGCAATATATATATATTATAATTACGCTATACTACTATATGAACTGTCTAACACATACTCTCTTATAGTAACTGAAGTAATTAAAAGTTAAACTCATTCAATCAATAATATATTTATCCATCACAACAGGCAAGCTAATCTTCTCTTCAATTGTTTCAATATCTTAATTATATTTTATAAATACCTAATAGACATTCGCTTAATATAATTAATGCTGTTTGATTGTTAAGTAAGCAAGATTTATATATTAATTGCTTTTATATATATTTCTAATTATGTTTGGTGCTGCGTTAAATTTAAGTCCTGAATTTCTAATAAATACCAGAAATATAATTTTGTATGAAATGCTCTTTTCGTGTGCAACCGCAATGTTTTCCCCCTATCAATATCAATTATAACAAGACAACATTTACACTTGAGTCTGAAATAAACACGTACACACCCACACACACACTCACATCATATAACCACTTCTAATCACATAATCATGCTCGCTGCTTCTCTCTCTCTCTCTCTGTTCCCTTCTCTCCGCTTAACTCTCGAGTGTAGCACTTAAAGCCATTTGCAAAAACTTAACTCGAATTCAAATGTAGACAGGCAAATTGCCTAGCCAGAGAGCCACAGAGCCGCAGAGCCACAGAGCCACAGAGAGCGAGCGTTAAATACAAGACTATGCCCAGCGGGGTAGACTCCTTGCCAGACCCAGCCCATTTGGTTTTGTGGGCCATGTTTAACTCGAAATTATTTTAAGACCGCTCCGTTGAGGCTGAGGCTGAGGCAACGTTTCTACCTCATGGCCAACACATAAAGCATTTCTCTTACGTTTCTTTCCTCTTTCCTCTTATTTCTTATTATTTTTATTTTTGTTTTCTTTCGCCTCGTAAATGCTGCGCCACTAAATTACCTACTGGCTATAATTGTTTTGTGTACATGTCGAGAGTCGGCAGTCGGGCGTTGGGAGTTGCGAGTTGCAACTTGTAGTCGAGACTCTTCAACAACAACTTGTGCAGCCTTGCAACAATGTTCGAGGAGTTCCTTTCCCTCCTACAGAATATGCACAAGTGTGGAACTAGCATTTTGCTTAAGCATTTGCATTTATTGCAGTCGCAGGCAGCACTCCAGCCAAGATGCAATGCTCATTAGGCTTTATCAAGGACATAGCTTTAATATATTACCCAGAGCGTGATTTATGAGAATTTCTTGCTTCGTATTTATGGACTTTTTCATAATAATAATTGTTTAGTAGAACATAACTAATATCTTAGACATATAGTGGGAAATATTAAATATTTATTTCACAGAAATTCAGCTTTTTTTGTAATATTAATGATGTTTAAGATTAGGTAATTAAATTTTATTTGCATAAAAGTGATTTTAATTTATTAGAAAACTTCAATATCTATGGATTTATCAAAAGCTTTTACAAGAACGAAAGCTATAAATTTTATAAATTCATATTCTCATTTAAGAACTTAATATTTTCATATGTTCATATATTTTCACCTTTAAATCTATGTTACTGCTTAAGCTACAGAGCTATAAAAAAGCTTTTTAAATCATTTAATTGATTGTAAGTGTTTTTAATGAAGCTAAATATTATGCGACAGCTTCTTATACAAGCTAATTAAATCTCTAATTATGAGTAGCTGTTGAAAGCCACAAAACACTTGAAAAGGCTTAAAGCCTAAAGTTCTTATGAAGCAATAAACAGTAATATTTTAATCCACAAGTCAATTGAATCCTGCAACTGCTTTCAGCCAGTGTCATTGCCTCAAAGTGAAGCTGTTCACAACAATCATGCGAGCAATACGAGATTTATGGGTGCTCGTAAATAAGCTTTTCATAAATGCAATCCACTTGGTAAATCAAATTGCATTATATGGTAGAATATCTGTTATATATAGATACACGTATTTATGTTGATATACACGTGAAGCATGTCGTGTAATTGTGGTTGATATATACATATATATATATATATATATATATCAATAATATGGTAAAAAATTAATTAAATTCTCGCAATCAATTTGGCATAAAATGGTCGCTGAATGGAAGAAGTTCATTTCCAATTGATTTGCTGCTGGTTTTTGTGGTACACACTCTCTATGACTGTGTGCGTGTATGTATGTATATGTATATGTGTATGGCCAGTGCTACATTTTTGCTGATGCAGTTGAATTTTAATGAAAGCGACTTTGCTTCTTTTTTTCTCCCACAGAAAATTGAATTATAGCAGACAGTGAAAGAAAGAAGGAGAGAAGGAGACAGAGAGAGAAAAGGAGAGAGAGTGTGTGTTTGTGAGTGAGCAGCAAAAGTTGTTGAGATTTTCAATTTCTATTGAACTCCGGCGGGCGCATTGAAAAGTAGCTGTGAATAAAAATGAATGGAATATTTTCTGCCACAGCATCTCAGATGGACTTACAGAACTTTTCTTCCCTTTCTCTCTCTCTCTTTGGCTCTCTCTTTTCCTTTCTTTCTCACTTGCAATATGACATTGAGTTTCAAGCGATTATTGCTTTTATGCACATGAATTATTCAGCGATAGTTGACTATCGCAATCATAACTCATATCGAATATATATATTCACTGATCTAATTGCGTGAAATGAATCGCGCTGCGAATCTCAAAGTCGTAAAAAGAAAAATCTCGCTTCTCTCTCTTTTTTGTTATTTTTTGTCGATTTCTTTTGGGTTCTCTTGACAATGGCGCCGTAAAAAATCAACTGTGGGAAACGCGCTGCACAAATTTGCATACTCATCATCATAAAGCGGAACATAAGAGGGACAAAAATGACTAGACTCAAGTGAACTGAACCCAGATTATAAGTTTCATAACTCAATAATTAAAAGTAAACCCAACAAAAGAGCTATTAAAACAAGTAGCAGTTCAGTCGTGACGGATATATACGACTAACAGATGCGCTGAAAAAAATTAAAAGTAAGTTTTTGTTAGGGATGAGCAGAGGCTGAACTTTGAATGAGTCTGGCTTAAACAAATGATGTTAGAAGACAATATGAAGATAATACGCATTTTAAAAGATCGTGTGAATACCTATTATACAAAGAACATAATTTTTACAACAGTCAGAGACAAATTTGTAATTCCTACATCTCAAGAACTTACAAATTGTAAGAGCTTTAATAAGGTATACAATTAAATTTTTTATTTTTCAAAGGAATTCTGATAGATTTGTCGAATAGTATTCGCCGTTCTGAGAGTAGAAAATAATTTTCATAAAAATTCCAGCTTCTGATCATTTAATAAATTACTCCACAACAATATACCCGTTTGTCACACTTTCAATAGGTCAAGGGTATCATTATTAGCAGCAGCTCAAAATGAAGATTAAATTAGAGACAACGAAAAAAAAAAAAGAAAATACCAACAAATTGTGCACTTTTTAATGGCTCTTAGAGTTAAGGTTAGCACCGTTAAATTGAGTGTTGTAAAGTTTGGCTTGGGTTCGTATTTTCTACGGTATTTTTATTTTTATTATCTTCGTGTTACACGTTCGCTGATTAGAGTTGTCAGCGGCAGCTGTCTTGAAACCAATCTTAAGCGGCTTATTATAAATTTGCTGTATGCATAAATAAACACGGTGTCTTCGCTCTGTCTCACTCTTTTTCTCACTCTGGCTCTGTCGCTTTGCGTATGTAATTTACGAGCTTTGGGGTGTGCCATCATGTTCAAGTATCCCAAAAAAAAAAAAAACAACGAAGTACACATAAAATATTTCAACAAGGTTGAATAATAACTTGTCTTGCAGTTAACACTCGAGTGCCAGGGCGAAGTGATTGCAAATACTTGTAATTGAAGATACCAATTGTTTGCCAGCAATTAGCGCTGTCATCTCGCTCTCACTCACTTCCCTCTCTCACTCTGTCTCGCTCTGTGTGTGCGTATGCTTACGTATACTTAATTTTTGTGTGGGCTTTCGACTGCGCCCGCATCTCAATCGTCTCATTTGGCCCATTCAAATTTAAATTTAAATTCAACTTGTGACTACATCCGCTTAGGCAAGCAACCAACCTGCTGTCATTTTCATATTTGGCATTTGGCTTTGAGCCAATTAAAGCGTTTGCTGACTCATATTTATTCTTTTCGAAGACCGTTTAGTTTCACGAATTATATCAACATTTATCTACAGCTTCTTCGTCTGGGTACGCTTCATCTCATTCATTTATCATTGGCCCCATTGAGCAGCAATCAATAATAATAATAAGAATTGCGGCTGCTTTCAATGCCAAAAATTCTAGGAAATGAATTTGCCAGCTTTGGTGTGGTTTTAAGCTTTCATTGTGCAACTAAATTGTTTTCGTCAGCGACCAAAATTTATGGGGAGCAAAAGCGACAGAGTGTTTAATATAAGAGGTTTATCATTGAAAAGGTGATCTAAATGCTGGCTATAATTTTAATCAACAATTTCTTTCACACTAAAAAGAATATTTTTATATGAAAAGAATATTCAGTGTGATTTTGCAAAGCTTAAGTTTTCAGCTAGATAAGAACTTGATTACGTTTTAAAATAAGTTCAAGAGCATACAGCAAACGCTTTAATATACTTTCCATATTATATACTATTATTTTTTAGGCAAGCTTTGAAGTTTTTCAAAAGAGCTTCAATGCGTCGTAAAGAAGAAGAAAAAGTTCAAGAGTATGCAAAAAAATAAACAAAAGAAGGCTTTGAAGTTTTTCGCCAGATCTTTAATGTGTTTGCTTAATCTTAAGGAAAGACTGAATTATTTTCTATACTTTAATATTATTTTGTAAGTTAAGTTCGATGATTTCAAGAACGCTTTAATGAAAGCTCTTTAGTCCAAGACAAGACAAAGTTTCCCACAACAACAAATCAGCTGAAAGGTAACAAGAATTTTTCTGATTATTCGAAATATTAAAAAAGTAGTAATATTCCTGATACTCGATCAAATTTCCAGCTGTCAAAGTCTTAGGTTTATGGAACTTGAACCCACCGCAGCTCCTTAACGAAACGCAGCTAAAATCCAAAGTTACGCTTCTATTGAAAGCAACCGACAAAAATTGGATTATTGATATCAGAATTGTAAGCTGGGTATTTTTGCTGGTATTTTTGAAGCAAACAAGCCGAAGAAAATATTCAGCTGGCATGCTTAAATTCTTATAAACAGCTTAAAATAAAAATAAAAAAACAAACTTTTTAATACCAAGCTCGAAAAAACAAAAGCAAAAACAACGCCAAACTTTAAGTCCTTTGCATGGTTTTTCTTTTTATTTTCTCTTCCCTCAGTTCTTTTTGTTTTTATTGTTTTTGGTTTTTCGCAGATCAACTCGATGCGTGAAGGTTGAGTGAAGAGCGGAGTGAAGGGCAGAGGGAGAGATATGATACGCGCAGCATTTATTAACATTGCTCGCTGGGGCGTGGCAGCTGCTGCTGCTGCCAAAAGGTGTTAAGTGGCAGCCACGATGCGAGTGCAAATGATGATGAGCCACGGCGAGCCGTAGCCGTAGCCGCCGAATATGAGCGTTGGAAAATCTGCGTAAATTTCGAAGCGAGCGGCCATAAATAACAACAAACACCGCTGCAGGCGGCAGCAACAAACATTGAACATAATATATGTTAGGAAATGAGAGCGGCGCAATGATAGACTAACTAGATATCCTGTAATCAAACGAAAATGAAATTAAAAGTGATGTAATTATTGCGAAAGCAACAAAATTAATATGATATATATACAAAAATATGTGTAGTGAAATGACAGACTAGCTAGATATCCTGTAAGTCAATAAATAATATTTAAACTACATGATAAATGTTTGCGCTGATGTGGGAGCGATAAATGTTAACTAACATGAATGGAAGAATATATCTGTTACTCAGATAAAGCTCATACGGAAACGTAGATATATATTTTTTCGCAAATAATTTCAGCTTTAATTTAAGGACTTAAAGTAGCTTGTGAATGTAAACTTTGCAGAATTCCTTAAAATTGTATCTGCAAAAAAAAAAAAAAAAATGTTTAAACTACATTTGCTTATCTATCAAATGGTTTCACTAAATTTTCTTCTATTTGCACATTAAACATTCTCACAAAATAAACCTTGACTACTTCGCAATTATAGGGTATATCATCATAAACTACATTGTAGACTTAGTGCATTTTTTGTTTGTTTATTTTTTGTGCATATTTTATCAGCACATAAAAATTAACTTTCTTAAGCATGAGCACACACATGCACACATTAGTCACTTCTCCTCTCAGCTACAGGGTACAGCGAATTTCTGTGTAAAACAATATTTATGAAATTCTCTGCTGATTCTCCAAGGAGGCATTTTCAGTGTTCATCTTCTTCTTCTTCTTCATGTTTTACATATACATTTAATGGTTAATTAAATTGGGAAGCGAGAAACGTGCGAATACGCGCTTCCAGCTGAAATCTCCAATTGAAAAAGTTGCAATGGCCAAACCAAATTGGAAATTCAATTGGAAAACAACTGCCAACAACGCACACATACACAGAAAACACACAAGTACACAAACACACACGCACACACACTGCTACAAACAGATCTGAACACTTGCCGCACAAACATTTGCCCAAAGTTGCGGACAACGCGCGTTGACTGTGGTCAGAAATTCCAAGTACAAAATATTTAGAGCGGAGGGAGCTCAATACGATAAATTATAGGAACTTGGATACATTTATGAGGTTGAATATAATGATTATATATACATATATATATATAAATTTAATCAAATATTAATATATAGGTATATATATATAAACTTGAAATAAAAATTCTTTGCAAAATTTGAGTTTATTTATATGTACCAAAAATTATAATTAATGTAAATGAATGACAAAAATAAATAAATAAATAAAATTGAAAAAAAATTAAAATAAAAGAAGAGGTAAATCTTATGGAGATCATAGTTTATATATGGACATTTTTCAAAGCTTAGTCTAATTTTAACATTTAAGCATTTTTGGTATATTTATTAGGAATTATCATTAATCTAGAATTAAGACCGACTTAAGAAGGTAAACACTTGCAACTGGGGCTTTCGGCCTGAGTTACGATCAATTTAGTTCGAATTCTAGGTAAACAACTCAGCATTTAATAGTTGGGTATTCTGGAAATGTATTTTAATTGAGCTTTCTTAAATATATTTCAATTTAATTTTGTCTACCTTAAGGAATGGTAAATAGGATTATTTTCTTTCATTTTTTGATTCATTTAATTTATATATTTAAAGAATTTACTGTATACACATCATATATAGTAATATCTGTATTTCAATATTTTCATTGAATTTCTAGATCTGCACGCGCTCATCTCTAGCTAAAAATGCATTTGCGGAAGCTCAAGAAAATTACGTCAGTGGCCTGCTAAAAGTACACACAGGCACACACACATGCGTACGCACATAAAAACACACAAGAACATAGAAACACACACATACAGGCACACACATATACTCATAGATAAGTGACTGCTTGGGCGCTTAAGAGATAGACCAATACATGCCTGACAGGGCAAAGAGTGCGTATGTGCATGCATATGTGTGTGTGTGTGTGTGTACATGTATGTGTGCCAAATACAGCCAAGCGGCAGCGGCAGCGGCAGCAGCACAGTCAAAGTTGGCAATGTTGCCATAGTAAGCAGTAGCTGCTCCTCTTCCGCCTCCGTGGGCTCCTCTGCCTACTCCTCTGCATTCCGCTTCATCGTCAACTCTTCACCAATGACGCAGACGATTGAATCGCTTGAGCCAAAGAGTTTGGTAGCGCGAACGAGAGAATTGGGTCAAATGCCGCATATTTGGCCAAGCAGCCGGCTTTAGCCGTACAGCGCGACAACGCTGCCTTCTTTAACGGTTAATGTTATTGCGCTTTTGCTCGTTTATCGCCGGCCATTGTTCTAGCTGAGATTTAGTTGAGCAGACGCACGCTGTGGCACAAAGTCCGCAAGCAAAGTCAAAGAGGCATACGCACACTCACACACATACATACGCACACACACACATAGATAAAAGTCAAACGGCAGCCGCTTAAATTTACTTTACGACTCATTGTAAACGGCATTACGATGGAGTCAAAGGCACAGAAGGCAAATTGTTAAGGAACGACGAAAGGCAGCACCTGAAGAGGCCAAGCTTGTGTGAGTGTGTATGTATGTGCGTTTGTGTGTGCGGTTCAATTTGTGTTGGCAAATTGTGTGTGCGTTATGATTAGCAAATTTTCATGCAATTGTTTACACATTCCAATTACAAATTTATTGTTTCTGCCATCAATTGCTTATAGCTAAATAGCTGCAAATACATATGGATGTGGCACAAGCTTAGTCAAATAATAAAAAATATGTTTATACATATGCATATATATATGTATATGCACTTTAAAAGGCTTAAAAAGCCGCTTTGATATATTTATTTAATATTTAATTTGCTTGTCAACTTTATGCTCTCATGTGGAAATTTGAGCACTCACAAAGCAATCAACTCAATGTTTCAGCAATAAAATTAATTTTAAACCTATTATTATTTATACGCTTTATAAACCTATTTTATGACTTGGCAAAAACTAATTGTTGTAAATTAATAACTTTATCTTTGGCTTTGACAGCAAATCAAGTCCTGCTTGAATAAATAAACTGAGATTTACAATCCGTTATTGAAATAATGTAAGTTCATTATTCATTTTGTTTTTAATTTAACAAAATGTTGCATTTGTATGGTTGATATGTTAAACAAATTTATTTTATATATTTAGAGTGTTTTTTTTTTATATATTTAATATTTTTTTATAATTTATATTTTTTTACAGACTTTGCATAGATTATTTATTTAAAATAATAATTGCATTTCTTTTTTATATAAACTTTATATTTTTATGAATAATACGTTATTAGTTATTATATATGAAATAAAAAACATATTTTATTTTATTTGGTATATTATTTATTGCCTCATTTTTATTTATTTTTAAAATATTAATATACTAGTATTATTTATTTATTTATTTTTTAACTTCAGTAATTGATACTTTTTTTTTTGCATAATAAATAAAATTAAATGAATTGAAAAGGATCAAATAAATTTTCTTTTATCTTTTTTTCCTTTTTTTATTTGAATGTAATTTGATATTATTAAATGTTTATTTACATCTCTTTAAACTTCTCTCAAATTTCACTCATTGTTATCGCTGCTCAAGCTTTTAATCTGAACAGCTTGCAGCATTTAGACTAATTTCCAAAAAATAAATTTATTGCTGAAAACCACATAAAAGTTGTCATAAAAACATTTGCCATTTCCTAAAGTGAAATAAAATGAATCATAAAATTTAAGCTTTTAGCTACGCCCTATCGCCCCTTTTGATTGTATTATAAAATTAAGCTGCTTGCAAACAAAACATTGATTACATTTATGCTTAAAACATAAACATATTTGTGTACATATAAATGTGTGTGTGTGAGTATTTATGTATGTATATATGTAGGCATATGTATATATCCCTTTCTCTACATCAGCCCATTAAAGCTTAATTAATTTTTACAACAATTTAGTGTAGCAAGTCTTTAATAATGATTACTTTCGTTTAATAAACGTCATGATTATTAAAATTAATTTGATGGCGCAAAGCTGCGGCCACATTGTTGTTGCAAGTTGTTGTTATTGTTGTTGCTGTTGCTGTTACTGTTGCCAACATTTTGTGTAAGCCATTTGCCAACGGCTGGCGTTGCAAGTAGATTGGAGCACAGTTTGCCAGTTCTTTTAGTTTTTTATGCTTGCTCACGAGCTGAAAAGAGAGTATATTGGCTCGATGCTGTTCGTCTCTCCATCCGAACATGAAGATAGATTTGTCTAATTATTTTTGCTATTAGGGCGTGGCAAATCAACAAACACTATAGCTCATGTTGTGCTATAGAGGATAGAAGAAGCTATGTCTATATAGATGATGGTGCACTCAGCTCTTCAACATTTGTCAAACGGTTTGACAACAACAATTTATACATATGTAGATGACTTTCAGCAGAATATCTTCTCACACGATTCGTTCTTTAATCTTCCTTCCACATTAGCCCCTAAATTCGTATAATATCGATAGCTTAATTAATTCAGGCAACGAGCATTATGCAGTCTGCTTGACTCCATTGCAAAATTCTTGCTTTCGCTGCAATTAATGACGTTGCAGCGACGACTGTGGCAAGCCGCAGGCAACTGGCCAAGACAATGTTACAGACTTTCAATATACATACATACATATATATATATATATATATATGTACGTATATACATTCATTTTTTGTTGCCAATCCACTCTTCAGCTTCTGCCCGCCGTCAATTGAGACATTTTGCAAATTTAATGTTTTAATTAGAGGTAGATGAAGAGACGACGCCTAAGCCCAGGCCAAACTGGGCTTAATGGCTAATGCAGTGTTGCCACAAAATTGATGTGGCACAGTTCACATTTAAGCTTAACAACCGCAGCGCAGCTCCTGACGAGAGAGCGAGACAGAAATAGAGACTCCAGTGTCTACGTGTGCTAGCAAAATTTCGTTACCTTCGGTTGAGTTACGTAGCAGTAGCTCCCCATGGAGCGTGGTTGGCATATAGAATATGTTGCAACATGCAATACATACACACACACACACAGAGAGAAAGAAACAGGCATACACTCGCACACACACATATACACACACACACACACACACACACACATGTAGTTCAAGCAAATCCCATTTGTCACGCCTGCAACGCTCGACCCGTTCGGTTTGTCAGTCTCCATTGACCCGGCAACCAGCAGGGAGACGGTTGGCAAAACGGGGCGTGGCAGAGGTGCTTTCAAATTTTACCTTGTAAAATCTAATATAAATGCAAACGCAAATGTCAAAAATTGTAAAATTAAAAATCACATCTGTCTGGCTGGCCCCGTGCCGCACTT